TAAGTTAGATACCTGGTATCCTGGTATGGGAAAGATACTTCTTTCCCATGGTGCAATCCTGACTCCCTAAATCAGAATCCTAAAATTCACACATAAGGCAGCTAAGTGAAAGGTCTCCAGAAGACAGATCAGAACCCCTAGAGTGGGCGACTGATCTGAAGACAGTTTGAGAAAAAATATTTTAGAGTTGTGCTCAGTGGAATTCCTCTATGTTCAGCCAATTAATATCTAATGTCATAAACACCCACTTGTAGCTACTGATAACCAAAGCATAAGGTCTAGAATAACCCTAAAGATCTGAAAAATGGAATGATATCTCCTTAAATGCATTCTTTCACTGCATATATCCTTCTATGACAAAGTGAAACAGGTTTCAATTTTTTGGGTGTTTTTTTCCTTTCTTTTTTAGAGAGTACCTTCAATTACAAACATGTCCATTTTTCAGAGGTCAAATGCAACTGTTTTTGAGCTATATAGGGCTTTGTCATGATATTTTGACCCTTTCAAAAATATGTCGAATGTGCTATTTCTTCAGAGGAAGTAATAAGCTTTCAAACCTTTATCTTTATTGCCATTATACTCAAACTATTTTAGATGTTAATTTGGAAATGGAATGACTTGTAGATTCTTCCCGTGACCACAGATTCTTTTTTCCTTTAATGAGGTAGTAGTTGATGCCTCTTAATGGGAATATCTGACTGTTCTGCTTCATGGCAATTCTTATATATTCAAGAATTATGGCAGTAATTGTGCTCTGTAGGAATATGTCCCACTACAGCTAGTGATATGGTTCTCAGATTTCCAATTTACGTGTTTTAAATTAATGGCTGTTTACTCTGCTGTATAATAAAAAGAGTAGTTATCACTGGAGTTAATTCATTACATAGTGCTTTATTTCTGAGATTCACAGTTTTTCCATGTACAGGACACAAAGTAAACAATTACAACAAGCATATATCTGTCAAGATATAAGGAAGCATTTAGATTACCTAAGCCATTTTTCTGCAAAGACACATCACTGTGTCAATTAAAAGACTTTAAAAGAATGTATTTGTCATCTGAAACTGATTAGAAAAAATGTCAGTTGAGAGAAACTGAGTAAAAGAGCTTTAAGCACCAACAATCTAATTGTTAATAGAATGTAGATTTCATTCATTACAAGCATTTATACCATTTGTTCAGTACTGCCTTCAGCACTTAAGGGAAAATAAGACTGATTTTGCCTGCTCTGTAACATAGCACTCAATAAATATCCTTGAACATACATTTCATCACTGCTGCTTCTTAGTATAGGAAAAATTTGAGCATCGTTATCCTTCAGAAAAGTCAAGATCTAGTTTTTGGTCTTTGGAGTCTTACCAGGTCAGTTGTAAGCAGAATAGCCATTGCAAATAACCTGCCAGAGGAAGAAAATCCATCTAGAAAGGGAACCATCATCTACCTGATGTTTTTTCCAGCATGCAGTGTTGCCTCAGATTTAAGGGGAGGGGGATAACAGAGACTGTGTAGAAACACTAAGATAAACATTTGAGACAGAAATGTCTCTTTAGAATTTGTCTCTTTAAGGATTCTGTATTACTGAACTCCTAGAAATATTTATCTGTTAAAGTAAATTTTGTTAAATATTTTAAGCATGATTATTTTCATATTTTTTGCGTAAGATATTTGATCATCTCTCTTTCTCTTCTTAAAGGTAAATAATGTATGTGTTATACAAATGGAACATTTTGAAAGGCAAATGGTACTGCAGTCTTAAAACTCTCAGTAACTAAAAAGGCACTGCTACATTATGGAAGTAATGAAAATAGATGATTATTATTTAACAAAGGAAAAGATGTTTCTGAGCATGAGCAACTTTCTGCTCTCATTAAAGAAGTTGATCTAATAAAAGACTTCAAAGCTTTAGTATTACTGTTTGAGAAATGTGATGTTTACTTCTTCAGTCAACAAAGCAAAATAATGAAAGAATACTCAAACACTTTACTGTGATGCACAGTATTTTCAAGATCCAGTAACTTGTTTCTCAGTTCAAAGTCTGAGAAAATGTAATTGAAATTGTTATTTATTAAGGCGTTTGAAGAAATAAGAGATGTTATAAAGTTGTAAAAATAATGTCCAGTGGTCAAGACTCTGCTAGATTAAACATCAATATGAAATTCTGAATCAACGAATCATGTTAGTGGAAGATTTACTCTGGATGATGACTCAGACAATGAATTAGGATTTTGGCCAAATATCAAACCCATAGTCATGATTCTGAAATTCATGTCTAGCTAAATACATATGATTACAATAGAAATTATATATATGAAACTTATTGCAGCATCTGGTCCCTTTTGCAGTTTAAGTCATCTCCCATTTAATCTCTGAACCATTATAAACAGTCTGACATCTCAGGAAGTACAAGTTGTAGCTGTGCATTGACTGTAAAATGCTTTGGGCAAAACGAAAGACTTGAAGAGAGTTATTCTGAACATTGCTTTACATGCATGATTTTATTATGCTCCTGAATTATAGATATAGCAGCTTATTCCTGTGTCATTCATAAGCCTACCATTGTAAACAAAAATAAAGGGTAGGTTTTTACGTATGTATGTATACGAAATCACTATGTGTATAAATATGTATACACACGCACACAAACCTGTACAGAACTTCTTCCTAAATACACCTTTTAAAAATCTAAATCTAAAATTTTAAATACAATGCTGATTTATTTCTATTGCATATGACAAGTAAATTGGGAGTCAAGATCTGTTATTTGAATACTTTAAGGTGATATTTTCTTTTCTTCATTTACATTTAAGTAACACATCCCTTGGTAGTTATTAATGAAAGCTAAAGAAAATATTTTTAAGGAAAAAAAATGTTTTCACTTCATTTTCATTTGAAATTTTTCATTTGCATTTTCTTTGCTTATGGGGGTATTTTCTCTGCAAATATCTCAGAACACATGATATTTCAGTTAGGAAGATTTACAGTGCTGAAGTATTCACTTGAAAATGTAAAGTACAAAATCAAATACAACAGGATAGAAAAAAAAAAAATAAACCAGTCATATTTTCATTTCAAATAGTGAATTCAACCCTTTAGAATCAACACAGAAATCCATGTAATAAAATCTCAAAAGAAGTACAGTGAACGACGTATTGAAAAAGGTTTACCACCTTAAACCAGAACATTCTCTCTTTTTGTGAAACACTTTTTTACTGCTGTTGAGAAAATTGATCTGTAAACAGAACACTGCACTGCCTTGACAAACAAAGCAACACTCAACATGAATTCATGAATAGAAAAGTGTTACTGCCAATGTTAAAAATGTAGCCCATGTTAATATTCAGCATTAATATTTTGAATTAAAGTCTGATTAACACATTGGGAGTGTTTCTACTGAGTTCAGTGAGCCCATGGTGTCCATCTTAGTGTGCATCTCACTAGGCTTGTCAGAGAAAGCAGGCAATGTGACTCTACCTGCATTTGAACATCACTAGCTCAGGCTCAGTAATGCAAACTTTCCTTAAGCTGTAGTCACTGGAGAGTTTAAAGATGGATAAGTATCATATCTGTTTCACAGAGACTAAGACTCAGAGGCTTTACAAATTCCCACAGGGACTGCCTTGCAGACTCAGTCTCTCCTTGGTCTGTGTAGTGTGCTCCTTCTGCCCTTGTGACCGTGTTTCCACTGTAACACTGGAAAATTAACAAATTAATCTGTAATTCAAAAAATTCTCTGAGGATAAAAGGAATGGCCACAGAATTCCTGAAAAGTATTTATTCTGACCTTAGAGAAAAGCATTTAAAGTGTTTTTCTTTGTCAGCAAAACCTCCTAGAAAATGAGGATAAATAGTGAAAAGACCTGTGTAATTGCTTTCCACAGATCATAGAATCACAGAATTGAGTAGGTTAGTAAGACTCAAGTCCAGCTGTTATGCCAGCACTTCTAAGTCCACCACTAAATTATGTTCCTGAGAACCACATCTGCACATCTCTTAAATACCTCCAGGGATTGTCACTCCACCACTTCCCTGGGCAGCCTGCTCAAGTGCTTGATAATCTTTTTGATGAAGAAATTTTTCCTAATAATCTAAAGCTCCTGTGGTGCAACTTGAGGCCATTTCCTCTTGTCCTACCACTTGTTACCTGGGAGAAGAGGCCGACTCCCATCCGGCTACAATCTTGTATTTGTGCTTAATTAGACGCTGTTGCTTTTTGGTCTGTGTTTGGCCAAGCCAACTGCAAGAGTATGTTCTTTTCCTGACAACTTATGTGAAAACAAGCACTGATAAATGAGAACTTCGTCCTTGAAGGAAGCATCTTGTATAAACTGAAATTAATTGAGGCCTGACTAATTGGGGCCCATGGCCCTCCAAGGACATTTGAAGGCGAAAGTGAAGAGGAGGATGATGAAGTAAGCCCCCAGACTCATTAAGAAAAGACCCTTGATGTGTAGGAAGCAGGTGTGGGGAAATTCCAGTGTATCCACACATGCACAGCAGGGACACACCACTTACATAACGAGGAGAAGGACCGAAGGCCTCTAACTCGGTGGTGCTGGCCACACATGCCCAAGTAGATGTCATAGGTTAATTGTATAAAAAGCGGATAGCTCTTGCTGGGAGCGGATTCAAGCTTCACATGGAAGACAATGTTACCTCCACAGGGACGCCTGCTATCATGTGAGGCTGCCGATGCTCTGAGGATGCAGCTTCTGCTATGGGGAATTCTAAGCATTCTGGGGTCGGTATACGTAAGTAATGCCTGAGTGAGTGGGGGGGTTGTCTTGGAGACTTGTTTCCATTCTCTTTCCTGTCTCTCAGTTTCTTATTTTTATTGCTACTTCTTGGTAACAAATGTTGTTTTGTTGAACTTCCAAGGGTCTACTGGTTTAAGTTCAGCAAGCTCCCTGCTACAAACCTCCTTTCAAGTAGTTGTAGAGAGAGGCAATTTCTCCCCTCAGTTTTCTTTTCTTCAGACTAAATATCCCCAGCTCCCTCAGCTGCTCCTCATCAGTCTTGTGCTCCAGTCCCTTCCCCAGCTCTGTTGCCGTTCTCTGGACACGCTCCAGCACCTCAGTGCCTTTCTTGTAGTGAGGGGCTGAAAACCAATTACAGGATTCGAGGTGTGGCCTCACCAGTGCCGAGTACAGGGGGACAATCAATAACCCTGGTCCTGCTGGCCACACTGTTTCTGATACAGGCCAGGATGCCATTGGCCTTTTTGGCACCCTGGGCACACTGCTGGCTCATGTTCAGCTGCTGTTAGCCAGCACCCCCAGGTCCTTTTCTGCTGGCTTGCTTTCCAGCCACTCTGCCCCCAGACTGTAGCGCTGCCTGGGGATGTTGTGATCCAAGTGCACAACCCACCACTTGGCGTTGTTGAATCTCATAAAATTTACCTCGTCCCATCAATCCACTCTGTCCAGGTCCCTCTGCAGAGCCTTCCTGTCCATAAGCAGATTGACATCCCTGTCCAACACGGTGTCATTTGCAAACTAAGAGTGCATTTGATCCCCCCATTCAAGTTATCAATACAGATATTAAATAGGACTGACCTCAATAATTAACCCTGAGAAACACCCCTTGTGACTGGCCACCACCGAATGGAACTCCATTCACCACCACTTTAAGGGCCTGGCTGTCCAGCTGTTTTTTTACCTAACAAAGAGTACATCCAAGCCATTAGCAGACAGGAGGACACTGTGGGAACTGGTGCCAAAGGCTTTACCAATGTCCAGGTAGACTAAATCCAGAACCTTTCTTTCATCCACTAAGTAGGTCACCTTGTCATAGCAGGAGATCAGGTCAGTGAAGCAAGACCTGCCTTTCATAAACTCTCACTGGCTGCGCCAGTTGTCCTGCATAGGCCATGTGATTGTACTCAAGATGATCTTCTGTGACCTTCCCCAGAATCGAGGTCAGACTGACAGGGCTATAGTTCTTCAAATCCTCTTTCTGCCATTCTTGCAGATGGGTGTCATACTGGATAGCCTGAAGTCACCTGCGACCTCCCCGATTAGCCTGGGCTGTTGGTAAATGATCTGTTATGCAAGTATAAATTCCACTCTTAATTAATTAATAATTAACCTGAAGTATGATGTCCCTCTAAATGTGGAGTCAAACAAGTGGGCTGATGGGGACAGATGCTAGTGTTTATCATATATATATATATATATATACACTATATAAAGGAAAACACCAATAGAAAAAAGATGTACATGAGACATCTAGAATGGACTGCATTCTTTGCAAATTACTACAGCTGTTGTGGTGAAATACCAAAACCAACACAGTGATTGCCTACATTTGGTTCAGTATTTCCTAGATCCTCACCAGCATAACTGACCAGTAGCTTTCCCTCAGTATCTTTCCTGCTTATACTTTTAGAAATAAAATTCAGACGAAGGACACATGCTGGGACATAGCATCCCCTCTCAAGCTGTAGGTCAAATTAAATACTGTAATAAAGATGTAATAAATTAAGTTACATTTTCAGAAGTGCATTATTTTATGCTGTATCAGCTAACCCTATTAAAAACATAAAGCAGAAAGACATCATCTGCCACTGTGGCAAGACAAAGGGAGCCACTGGCAGCTTAGCCTTTCTGAAAGCCAGTCCACTTATATTCAGTATCTGAGTTTGGTTTCTGGAGCCTAGATACACATTCTTACCAAATATCCTTAAACCCTCCAGAATTCTGATTTTCTTTGATAAAGTAATTCCAAATAAATTTAATTTAAAAATACATCCCTCCCGTTTATTCCAACAATTTATATAATTTGCCTTAATGTTACCACGTGATTTATAACAAATGGATATTATTACCTTGTTTGCTGTCCTTCCCTACAATAATTGTGCAAAGAGTGGTGCCATGTCCCATGATCTGCCTAGATTTAATGATGTCAATGATGAAGCTAAATTTTAGAAACCACTTTCCTAAGACAAGGTCATATGCAGACAAGCCTTCTGTCACTCCTCAGGCCTCTTGCCTTTTCCCACAGCTCTCTGACAGCATCTTTATCAGAGATTCACCCCCCACTTTCCTGGCCTGTCCAAGTTCCTTCTTCCCTTCCACCCAACATTTCACTATGCACACGCACATTAAAGAAAAAGGCCTTTAGCTTTGATTCAAAGGTAGGGGTCTTGCAATTTTGCCTCCTTCCATGAAAGAGAATGTCATTCATTTCTGAGCAAAAGGTCGAGGGGAATGTTCTCACACTGATGCAAAGAAAGACTAGATCACCCAAATCAAATAGTATTAGTGAATAACTCAGTATACCTCATATTTAAAGAGTCATTTATTACTGCTACTCCTGGTGATCATCCTTCTCCTTAATCTAAAACTGGAAGTTTATCTGCAGTCCAATTCATTTACTGTGGAATTGGTGCATAGTGAATTGTCCAACACCTCATAAAAATAATGTTACATCCAGCAAGATGTGGTGTTTTATGCCAGTCCAACATCTGGCAGTGTTTCCATTGATTTATAGTATTGTTTTTTAGCATTCAGCAATGGCAGAGAGAATGCTAAAGTAGAGTATTCGCAAATTAAATAGAAAAACCTAAGGAACACTCATCTTCTCTTGAAACATTCTTGTGTGCATAGAAATGAAAATCTGCATGAATTCATATTCAATAGAAACAACTGGGCAGAGGATACTATCCCTACATGAATTTTAAAGCTTTCAGAGACTTCCGACACAGACATTTCCATTTTAGTAAAAGTGCTTTGTAGACAATGCACAGTGTTTGATTCTTACTAGAACACCTGCTTCATAATACGCAATCTTGACATTAGAAAAATAATTAAAATATAATAAATTCTGTGTAATGCAACATTTAGTGCTAAAGAGCAGCTATTGAATGACACTTCCAGTGAATGGAGCCAGAATGTCTGGTCATTAGATGATAGCAGCAATACTTTAGGTAGTAAACAGATGTCAAATGAATTCATCAATACAAATAAAAATCTGCTTAACAGGATCTAAACTCAATCTTTTAAAGTATCAGTAATTTAATTATGCTTTCCATACACAAAGAACAAACTTATATTTTTTACTTGAAATGACCTTTCATTTGGAGTGTTAAAAGAGTAAAGCAGGGAAGGAGGAGGAAAACAAACGTTCAGGAAAGTCTCCAAAAAAAAATGCAGTTCATCCTTCCTTTGTGATGAGCTGCAGAACCTTTCCATAACACATTTACCATCATCTTCTGGACCACCATTACACAGAAAATGGCACTGCTACAAAGACATCCAGTAAAAACACACACACTACCCGTTTCCTTGTTGATAGTGCTCATAAGAAAATATTGGATGGCATAAACTACTATATAGCTACAATTGAAAGAACATAATGTAATTAGATTACTCCATCGCCTTGTCCATGTTATTGCTTTTTTTCCACTCTCATCCTTCCTATTCAAATAATGTCTTTCCAGAAATTAAAATAGAATGAAAGCTCATGGGTTTGTTTGAATCTGCATAATACCATTCCAGATGCTCTGCTTTATCTTTAGCTCTCAGTAATAATTAGGGAAAACAGAGTATTGAATTCGGAGGCCCAAATTTCTAAGAAGAATAGGGAGTCCTGGATTACACAGAATAGAATTCAACAGAATTCAGATCATGTAGTCTGAAATACCAGATACAATTCCTTGTATTTCTGTCATAAAAGAATGCCATCTAAACCTTTTGTCTTCTCACAGTAATTCTCCTAACATATTTTCAAGTCTGTTTGGGTTTTCAACTATGGTGATGGCTTTCCTCAACATGCTTCCTGATTCAGAATCCTACAAAAGGAATAAAATTGTTATCTCTGTAAAAATTAAATTTTCTACCCAGTTCTCCTGTAATTTTCTCTGGATTATCCAACAAATATCCTTATTTTTCATTCTCTTTGAGGTGATTTGTACTCTTTGAGGAAAAATATCTACATAGTGACCAATTTTGCCTTATCCTTTCACAGAACAAGGAGGGCTTTTGTCTTGGCCCTCCAATACTCTCAGTGTGATTAGTCAGAAATTTGCCTAGATATTTTATGCAGATATTTTTTCCCCTTTTTTTCCTCTGCCCTCTGAACTCACCTAGTATTCTCTTGCTATAATAATATACTGTCCTACTTCTCTCCATTTAATACACTTTTAATATTTTCATCAGGTATAGTCAAATAATTCTTGATGTCAAGTCTATCAGTGTTGTTTTTCATTAATGTAATAAAATTCTCTTTGGCTATTCTATAATTATACTTCTGCCTTATTTTTCTCTACCACTCTTGAGACAATTTAAATATCACCTGCATGATCCATTTTGTAATTTACATTTTCTTGAGGTTGGACTGGATGACAGACTGTGGTCTCTTCTAACCTTACCATTATATGATTCTGTGATTTTTTAATATTGTTAAGTAAGATTATGTGTATGTAAGATCATGTGTACTTTATTACTTTGAGCTTCCTAATGTAGTTAGTGTTTATTGTGAAATTCTAAATAAATTGCTGACTATTTAAGAGGGGATAGACTGTAACTAAAACGGGATGCTTCTACCTGTAGTTTTTCAGTTATGACTGTGCTACTTACAATCACACTTTACAACACAGTGTAAGCAGGCTGGCTAGAGATGAGGTGATCTTCAAGAGGCTAATTTGTTAGAGATATGAATTGCAGTTCACATCTTTCTCTATTAGTTCTAAAGTGAATGAAACAGGACTCAGAGATAAACTAAATCAAACTGGGTTAAACCACAGAAACTTTAGGTTCAGGCTAGAGTGCTTGGATCTACTGCTGGCTCTTTCATTATTTTCTATCTAACGGATGGATTCCTGGCAGCAGAATTGAGGACTCCTTCTCAGTGATTCAATTAATAGCAACAATGAAGCAGCATTCTCCAGCATGTTCTGGTCTTCTTTCCACAAATGTGACTGTTTAATCATATAAGAAATTCTATTTTTCCAGAATTTATTTGAGATTTTTAAAAATAACGTTTACATTTATGCTTGTGTTGCAGGGAGAATGTTACAGAATAGTCAGCTGTAAGATGCCATATGCTCATTGTTCTTCAAATTCTCTAACCTGTGAGAACCATCAATCTGATAGCTTAACTTTCAAAGTGATGAGTGCACACAGTGTTTCTTGTGTGCTGAAATCGTTACTCTCACATAGCATTTGTATCTTCCCTGGCTCCTCACAAAACTAAGCCCATAACTCAAACTTGGGGAGTAGCTTTAACCACAGAGAGTCCAGTAATGAAATTTATCTTCTTGCATTTTAACAGAATGAGTGTTATACTTTTATTTTAAAAACATAACTTTCTAAAGAAGTGGTTTGATGACATGCATTGTGAATGACCATATCAAACTGTGGTGGCCTCAGTGAGATATAGCGCTTCTCCTTGTCATCATTCCTTGCCTTTGTCATGCTCTAGGCATCTGCATGCTGAACATACAGATTTTGGTTGGCTTCTTACTGCTGCCTAACTCTTCTCCTATTCTATACAGTGAGTCTCAGTGACAGAAAAGGTTTCAAGATCCAGCTGAAAGTGCTGATAATGATATATGATACTTTAGTAATCCTACTAATTAGCCTATTCTTCCATAGGTTCATGTTCCAGTGTAGATAACATAGAGCACAATAGGAAAAATAGTAAAATAAAAAGAGGCTCAATGTGCTACTTCATCATACTTATAGCTGGACTTTCTCTGCAATAATTATCCTCTGAATTTTCAAATCAATTTTTAATTTTTACCTATAGCATGAATAAAAAAAACCAGTAATACTTTTAAAGTTGCAACTATGCTATGCTGTCCTATTTTTTTTAATTTCTGTTGATTTCTGAAATTACTATGATGGGAGAGTGAAGGATGTGCTAACGAAACTCTCAATCACATTTTGGTGTATACAGCCAACAGCTGGCACACTGGTATTGACTGAGGTTTGCATTGCTTTTCATATTACCAGAAATATTAATATTATTGAATATTTAATATTTGAATATTAAAGCTAAGGCTTAGACAGATTCTCTTCCTCCTGCAACTGGGTCCAGACTTGCTGAGATTTGGAAAATGGACAAAATGCCCACAGTTTTAGAATGCTCCACATGCAATTACTACAGTTCCCCTGCATGGCTCATGTTGACATGTGGCCTTAACTATTCACAACTCGTGACCTATGCTGGATGATTCAGAAATGTCCCTATTACACATCATTGAAATTAATTGCTGTATGCAGGAGAAGTGCTCATGGGTGTGAACATATGCGTGTGTGTGTAAATAAATTCCTTCCCGACCCCTGTAGTGATGTAGTGACCCTATACCTGATGCTATGAAGCAGGAAATCCAATTAGTATGCATAACTAAAAATGTTATTATTGGTCATAAAATTATCCAGCTCCTTCAAAAATCAGATCTATGAATTATGTGATTATACTCCTCAGGCTGACTTCATGCTGTATGAGGAAGTGCTTCCTTTAATTTGTTTCAGCTCTGCTTGCATTATGTAGGTGGCATTTCGGTGTGAGAGAAGGTTGAGGCAAAGGGCTAATTTTCCTTCTAAAGTGTCTGGGAATGTGAGCTCAGGTAAACTCCTACAAGTGCATAGGTCTTTCACGTACACTATGTGGCATTTCCTAAGTCAAAACAAAAAAACAATCACCACCAGCAACAATATCTGTTTTCCAAATGTGTCCTAAAATGAAATGTCAACACTTTGATGAACAACTTCTGTAGCAAAACAGCATGTATGAGACCAAATGGCAACAGATCACTGTTTACACAAAAAATGAGCATAATGAAACAAAATTACTCTGAACAGCAAAATTCCATGCTATTAAAAAAAAAAAAAGTCCCCATTAGAGCCAATAGCAAACCACAGTATCTTTTAAAACTTTGAGCATATGCAGATTCATCATCTTGACAAATGAAGCAGATGAGAGTTAGCAAAGATCATTAGTATTTACTGTGCTGTGAATTCGTCTCATAAAACTTCAGTTCCAAGGGGAAAACTCACTCACAGACCCAGAGTGGACAGGCTGCAAACCATGGAGATTTCAATGGCAAGTCCAGAGCTCTGGAATACCTCCTTTCTCTGACTGGAGAGATATTTTATCTCTACTAAAATAAATTCTTTCCCCCCAGTTCAGTACCATGGTAATATGAGGCTTAACATGATTTACTTCAATTTTCCCATAAATATCCTCTGAACATTAACTTCCATAAATGTATTTGAGGACACAGGTCCTTGAGGACGCCTGCACAAGCTGCTTTATTTGTATTTGGAGAGCAAAAAAAAATGTTATATTTGTGAATTTCCCCATGTTGCTAGTAAACTACACAAGCTTAATGGTGCAGTAAAAAACATATTAATCAAAAGTTACTGGTCAGTCTTTCTTACTGAGAACAGTAAGACGTATCTCACAAATCACAAGTGACAATCACAATTCACAATCTTCTGAATGTTACTTGAAATTCTGAAAAAAACATTGTCTTTCCCTGCATGCTCATACATACATACATTTGAAATAACTATTTGGGATACAAGTGCATTGGGCCTAGCCATTTTGGGTAGTTAGATATCCCTTTTCCCTCTTCTTGGTTCACGCCTCATCTAGTACAGGCTCTGCAAACTGCACAAATATTGCAAATTGCTATTCCAAAAGATGTGCACCTTATCTGCTACAAAAACCTGTTACCTTTTTTCTTAGTCAGCCATGAACATTAAGTATCATACAAGAAATCTGCTTATTCTTGTTTCATGGATTTTATTACCTTGGCAACTAAGTGATCTGTTCAAACTGCTCTTTGCTGTTAGTTTTAGAGTTTTCTGTGTCACAGAAAAAACCATGAAGAGAGGATGAATAGGTAACTGACTTCCCTTATACTTGCATCAGTTTCTACAGATGGGAGAATGGATACAGTGTGAAAATGAAGTCTTTGGTTGCTCAGAACCAGTGGTAGTTAATGTATTAGCTGGATTAAAAATAGATTTTTCTGTTTTATGACAATGACTAGCAAAATCCCAGTTGGGAATGGAATTTTATTTTTAATATATCAAAAGAATATTTTTAGTCTGGAGAAGAAAAACTGTGAAAGAAACAAATATTTGAACAAAATGAAATGTTCTTCTTTTCACATCCATCTTTGGATTTTCATTAACAAATAAGCACCCAAATGCTGTCATCAAAGCTTATTATAAATAAAGAAAAAGTAGACCCACTTCATAAGGGAGTCCTGTAAGACTCAATTTTTTTCAGATGACTGTGACGTTTTGTTGATTGTTTCCAAAGGAGAAAAAAAACCAGTGACAGTGACATGGACATATAATGTTTCAGTAATGTTGCATTGGTGTCAGTGACAGGTGAAAAGTCTCCCAACCCAGCACGAGGATGAGATGGAGCCAGTTTCCCATATGCACGATCTGTGCCCCATCAAACCTCCCTCCACTCCACAGCACACTTCCAGGAAACTTCCCCTATTCAAATGGCAAGGGACTTGCAGCACCGTCTTCAAAACGTTGAAGGCAGCAGGCTCTACTGAAAAATACAACCAAAGCTTGATCTTTCTATAGAAAACAACCATACACAAATGACACACCAGGGAGCCATATTAAACACTGTGCAGTGGTTTTTGTACCAAACCTAACAGGTTAGCAAATATTTTTGTGGGTTTTCTGTCAATCCTGTAAATTCAGTATGAAATGTGAAAAACGGGCAAGGCTCTTTTCTAAGTGTCATCATGATTAATAAAAGAGGTGGAGGGGAAAACTGTTGTGTGTTACAGCTCAGAAGCCTCATCGTAGGCTGCAGTAATAGAACTAATTCATGGAAGTGGGCACAGTAAGAAATGCCCTTGTGGACATTTTTTTGAGTTGTGCATCAGCCAGAAAATAATGTTATTCCCTAGCCTCACATGGCACTGGCTGCATCTTCATCTAGTCTCCAGAAAAAAACAAATGGAAACATGTTTTTCTGAATATTTTATACTGTTGAAAGTGAACTACATTTGACTGAATCAAACAGCTTGTTTAAAATTTTTATGATGTGTTTATCAGATATTCAATGTTTTTGGAATTTTGAAAATAAAAAAGAAAAACCCAATAGAAAAGAAATACTGGGGTTTACAAGACATAATCTACAAAAATAAACACATTTTTAAGGGTAAGGAGTATGTTTTTGAATGTTTCTGATGGAAATAAAACATGGCTATTTCTTTCTTAAATGTATTGTTCAGAACTTCACCTAAGATTAACTAAATTGAAGTAAAGGTTGGTAAAGTGTATGCTTAATTTATGATTGTGTATAAAGTTGCTCAGAACATGTGTACATGGGTCCTGAAGTTAAAACTACAATCATTGCTGGTTTTGGCATGTTCAACACCTAAGCTTTGACTACTTTGCGGGTACACTCTCAGTCTTCTCTTCCTTAGACCATCAGTATTCATGAGAACAGCAAGTAAATTTGACTAAGAGGGATATCTTTTTATTTTTCTTGCCCTGAGTATACAAAGAAATAAGTCACCACCTGAAATTCAAATGTATGAGATACTTGTCTCCTGTAAGATCTCGTATGGATATTCAGTCACTGAGCTGCATTAAACAACTTTCTATCCACTCCTACTCTTTTCTCACGTTTTTACCGTTTGTTTTCTGACAGCTTCTACATTTTCATACCCTCCTTTTTAACATTCATTTTAGGTCTTCTATTTCCTACAGCCTTTGCTGGCTGGAAGCAGTTACAGGAGCCAACCTTTTCTTACAACTCAGCTTTCTTGCTCGGACTGTAGTTGTAACCTGGCACTTTGCATGAATTAATTGATCATTCAGATCAAAACATTAAATATTTAAAGTGGCACCACACCATTCATAAAGTGAAATGTAAAATGTTGTTTACTGTCTGCTAATTATTTTAGTTCAAGCAGGCAGACTCAACTGCCTATATTATTAAGTAAACCTATAAAAATGAGCTAGGGACAGGAAATGTTCTTCTTGCTGGTAACAGTGCTAAAGATTAAGCTGCAATTCTCATTAACTGTATCATAACATGAAAATATTTTTCTCCAAATTTTGTCAATACAAAGCTAAACGAATCATATTAGTCCATGTTTCCAAATGGTTTGGATAGAAGCTTACTAGTTGTGAAATCTCAGATGTTAATCATTTTAGGAGGTAAAACTAATGTTACTAATTTACTGGTGTTTGTGGCTATCTGTGCCCTCAAGTAGCAAAGACTTGTGTTCTCTAAAACAACGTACTTTAACACAAATTAGTTTGAAGCTTATCTTAAAGGATGATTTCCCCAATGACCATACAACATCAATATATAATAATCCACATAAAACTTTTACCAGTGATCTATTTCTTACAATTATATATTTGCTATAGGAACATTATATAGGAACATCACCACTGGGTTTTGCGATCAGGAACACTGGAATGTGATGGAAACAACAATAAAAATTCACAATCATGCTGAAAAGAACTGTGTGAAAACCCATAAGAATTATATGTTTTGATATAAATTTTGATAGTTTCATTACATAACCTAAAGCAACACAAGATTCCTGAGCTGGTCTTTTCAATGACCTGAAACTCTGTTCCATTCTGTCAAAAGTTTCACACAGTGGTCGAGTGCTGATTTGCAGTTTTGGACCAGAAACACTCAAAATTCTCATTTTAGTTAGACACAGGGGGACAGATCTAAAGGGAGTGGAAGAGACTAGTTATAGCATGCAAAGAGGTGGGATAGATGTAAGTGCACATGTCTGTGAACTGCAACTTTTGAATGTTGTAGAATATAAAGCCTACTACTCTGTTGTGTGTCTCCACAGGACTCTGGAGCCTAATTATAGAGTTGTATGAAAAAGTTCTTCTTGTCAGCAGAACTGGCAGGAGGGGAAAGAAAATCACATTTTTTGCACATTCACAGAAGAATAAAATATTTAGGCAGAAAACCATCATTGCTGCAGATGGACACTTATAGAACAAAAATGGGTAATTTTTGTGCAGCTCTGCTTGTTGCTAACATAGCCAGAATATATTTTGTAGCGGATCTAAAATCCAACCTAGAATTCGTCAGTCACAACCAGTGGCAAAATATGCTTCATAGGGGAGTAGAGGTTGAGGATAGCAGGAAAATTCAAGGTGGGGCAGCCATCCTAAAAAGAGCAGGCAGGATCCCACCAAATTTAGTGTTGCTGCACTTGCTTATGCCTGCAGAGACTTTCGCTCTGGATGGTTTTTAGTCCTTATGAGTAAAGATTAGCCACAAAACCCTGATCACAATTATAAAAAGGCAAAAAGCAAGGATGTGACCCTAGAGTGGCAATAAGAAAAGAGAACTAGAAGAGGTGTGAGAGATATGCACAAGCCGTTAAGGAAAACAGGAGTAACCAGGTGCTAGGGGCCAATGGACTTCAACTGCTTACTTTCATTAAATTTAAAAGACAGAGTCTTTAAATGCATGCTTTGAGTAAGAAGTATGCCTATAAAAATCTATTCTATACCCAGAACATATCATAAGGGTAACTAAGGTATTTTTAGGACAAATATAACTTGACAGGATGGTAGGCACAATACCTGATTCCCAATGGTGCTCAGGTGACAGCTTCTACCCAGCATATCAAAAAAACTCAATAACCCAGAACAGTGTTTTGTGTATGTGCTATGTGACCTTCCGCAACCCTAATAGAGGGATTATCCATTTGCAGGTGCAGGTCTGTGACACAGAAGATGAATAATTTATGTGGGCTTTCCCCTTCTTCCTCTCAGTACTGAGCAGAGAAACGGGGATTCATCACTGCTTGGTCTTCACAATTTCTGTACTACCTGACTTGTGTTTGCAGCCACTCGGTGAAAAGCNCTTAAACTCAACGTGTAGTGACCTGTGCTTTCTGCTTTGGATAAGTGTTTCTGTCTTACGCTTTTTAAATGCAATGTGAATTTTATATGAAAGTGCTTTTTTTCTTATTTCCTTTTTCTTTCTTTTCCCTCAGCATCATCTAATTTGGCAGTCCTTGGAGTGCTAGAGAGTCTCTTTAATGTATCTCAAGGCACAAGGACTCTGACTTTACTGCATTAACAGAATACATTTATTTGCTTCTTTTATATGTGGCTATGGGAACTGATGAACGGTTGTGTTCTCAATACTCCCCTTATCTCCTTCTTCTTTGTCTGACATTAGCAATAAAATACAAATTCCAGAAACGTCAAACCAAGCATCCAAATTAAGAAAACTAATTTCATGACAGCTAACATGTGGGAAAATCTCAGGTGATGAAGAAATCCAAGGAAATACAAAGGAAAATGGCAACAACATAGGCTACACTAAGAGGAAATAATTATAACTAAAGACAGCAAATCCATTAATATTATTATACACTAGTAACTAATAAATTCAAAATAAAAATTAGTAGAAAGCATTAAAAATCTCCTGCAATAGAATCTTCTCTCCA